TTTTTGTCTTTTGTCTTTTTCCGTGTCCGGCAACGGATCGCAACCCTCAGTGTTGCCCCCGTACCGGACCGGGGACCGGCAACGGGATCGCAACCCTCGGCGTTGCTCCCGCGCCTCGCTCAGCCAGCGAGCGGGAACCGGTCTGTATGTAACCGGTCTGTATGTGGGATCCGAACCCTCGGGCGGGAGTGCCGCTGCGCTTCCCAAGCGGCGCACTTATCCAGTGCGCCACCGGGCCGGCCCTGTACATGTTACTTTTATTCCTCCATCAGTATCCCAGAAAGCTGCATTTTCTTCTGGCCAGGAAAAAAACATATTTAAAAGAAAAATTAGTGACTTTATTTTATTTATATCTGCTGCCTGCTGTCTTTCAGCTCCAAATTTGTGTAATTCTCCCTACTGCCAAAGTGCTCCCTTTCTTTTTTTCCTCTACCCTCGATAAATTTGATCTCATTTATTTATTCATCCATTTCTATGTATTCAATGTACTGTATTTATTTATCATTTATTACTGTATTGGGAACCTTCCTGAATTAGTCCAACCCATCCTATTGCTAAAATATAGTTTGTAACTCTCTTCTGCTTCCTTTCCATTTCTTCTCTCTCCCTCCACTTATCTGTTAATTTGTCTATTTATTTTGCTCAGTTCTATTTATTCATTTACTATTTTTCTAATACATTGAGCACTTACTTGATGCAAGTTACTATGCTTAGTTGTTGGGGATTATGAAGGTAGCATATTCTCCCTCAAAGGGCATAGATTTGAATGCAAAAGTGTGTGTGTGTGCATGTATGTATCTGCAATATAAGGGGCAGAGTGATCAGTTGCAAAATAAAAGTATATCTGAATTACTGGAGAAATGAACACTCCCAGCTGGGAGGGCCAGGAGAGGCTCAGAAGAGATGAACGGAGATAGAAAGGTTGTGAAAGTAATGAAGGCAGGCTAATGTGAGATGTCTTTTGCCTTCCTTAATTCATAATCAAAGCTAAATATTAATCATTAAGCTTAATTTACTAGACCTTTCAATTCATAATTGAATATCTATTTTTTATTCTGCTTTTTATGACTAAGGGTCAATTCAGAAGAAAAGAGACTTAAGTTGGCAATTTATTAAGGGGTGGTTGGGGAGCAGGTTCCAGGGCATGCCTGGTTACAATCTCTTTAGCTCAATCTTCTCCGGCTTCAAAATCTGTCTTTAGTGCTAAACAGTAAGATCCTATAGTCAGAAAGACCCTAAAACACTATAATATCTTAAATCATCAAAAATAAGTGTAATTTGTATCAATAATACTATGACAAAAGTGAGAGAATTTCTAATATATTTTATAAAGTTTTAAAAAACAAGAATAGGGCCGGCCCGGTGGCGCACTGGATAGTGTGCCGCTTGGGAAGCGCGGCGGCGCTCCCGCCCGAGGGTTCGGATCCCACATACAGACCGGTTCCCGCTCACTGGCTGAGCGAGGCGCGGGAGCAACACTGAGGGTTGCAATCCTGTTGCCGGTCCCCGGTCCGGAACGGGGGTAACACTGAGGGTTGCGATCCGTTGCTGGACACGGAAAAAGACAAAAAAGACAAAAAAAAACCAAGAATAGAATCAATATCCACAGAAAGATCTTTTTGCCTTCCCCTGAGCAAATTACCCTCATCTCTGGAAAAGTAGCTTCATGGAAAGAGATTATCACAAGAAATATTGAGACTGTCCTCAGCTCACCACTGCTGAGCAATGCTGTAAATTTATGGCTTAGGGCAGAGGTTTGGTGGTAAATTAGGGGCAAGATTCTGTCTCATCCTTCGTGGTGTCATTTGTTCTTTGGGGATGTATCTGCTCCAAACTCATTCCATCTCAAAATTGAGATGCTCCATTCTCTTAGCTAAGATGCATGAGTTCATTTTACACTGTGATCACATTTTAGAGACCCTATTGAATGGGCTGCCAGTGTTTGCTTTGTAATGTTAAGGACACTCCTTGTTCCAGTCCTAAAGCATGGGCTACAGAACATAACTGAGGCCATGCAGGAAAAATGAAAGGAAGGAAGGAAGGGGAAGGGGAAGGAAGGAAGAAGGAAAGAAGGAAGGAAGGAGGGAGGGAAGGAAGGAAGGAGGGAGGGAGGGAGGGAGGGAAGGAAGGAAGGAAGGAAGGAAGGAAGGAAGGAAGGAAGGAAGGAAGGAAGGAAGGAAGGAAGGAAGGAAGGAAGGAAGGAAGGAAGGAAGGATGACAAATAGCAGCAACCTAATAATCTTGCATCATCAGTAGACAGTGGTAGCCTAAGGAACAAATTAACACTTTACTAAAAAAATCAGGCAACAGTGAACTTTGATTCGCACTTCTAGCAGCAGGAAGCTGCCAGGAGCTGGTATCAAGTGTGACTGATGCTAGGTAGGAAAGACACAAGAACAGCCCCTGGCTAATAGGATCAACTGGGTCTTACTTATTATGGAATCTTTCCCTTTTCTGTTGAGGCTGCCCCCATTTACCCAGGTTCTCAGACCAAAAGCTTGGAGTCAACACTGATTTCTCTTTCCCTCTCCTATTCCTAATTCACCTCCCAAACCAGTCTCCAAGTCCTGTTGATCCCACCCCTAGATTACATCCCAAATCTCTCCACTTCCATTTCTACTGCTACCTCCTCAATCTAAGTCACTTTCATCTCCTGCCTTTAACAGATTCCTGATATTTCTCCTTGGTTTCATTATTGGCCTCTTTTGGTCCAGTGTGCCCATAGGAACCAGAGTAATTTTTAAAACATAAATCAGATCATATGATCTCCCTGTTTAAAACCTTCCAAGAGCTTCCATTTGTATTTAGAACAAACAGCATTGAGGTTCTGTACCATGTCATCAGGGCATCATGTGATCTGCCATCTTCTCTCCTACCACTCTCTTCCATGGGTACAAGCTCCAGCCCTTGTGGGCTTCTCTTTTGTCCTCCAACATGACAAACTCATTCTGGGCATCTGCTCTTGCTGTCACCCTGCCTCAGATATTTGCACGGTTGGCTCCTTCACAAATGCACCTCGTGAGAGAAGCTGTCTCTGACCATCTCACTTAGGAGCTTTCCACCCAACTAGATACTCAGGGCAAGAATAGAGAAGTCGCCTTAGAGAGGCCTTCCTGGAACATTCTGTAAAGTAGCTGATCCTTTAACCCCATTCACCACCCCAATGATATTCATCTAGTTACCCTGTTTTATTTTCTTTATAGAACTCTCAACCCTATCTAAAATTATCTAATACTCCCAATTTGTTTACTGCCCTTCAGATTCCCTCACCCCAAACTAGACTGTAAGATTTATAAGGGCAGGGACCTTTTTTATCTTATCTTATTATCCTCTACACCGAGTGTGGTGTCTGGTTCCATCCTGATGCTCAGTTAACATTTGTTAAATATATAAATAGGTAGTCTCTGTAATACACAGCTGGAGGTGAGTAACAGCACTCTGTCAGCACCCTGGAAGAGCAGAGAAAAAGATGAGCTGTAGGGAAAGGGATGGGAGTCCATAGTTGAGCATGTTATATGGGGCGGGCTCAATGGTATGTTTGCTTATTCAAGCCTCATGAATATTGGTGGTGTTCTCAGTGGTTCTTACCTAGCAGCAGCATCTCCAGGAGGGTGCATGTGCTCTGGCTGCATAGGTGGTCACTTGTTTCTCTCACACTTCGCTGGAGATTTCCTAGTAGAAGACTTCCAGGAAGCTCCTTGTCCCTTTCACACCTGTTGTAGGAAGTACAATTGCTCTTCCTGAGACTTGGGGACTCCAGTGAGGATAAAATGATTTATTTGAGGTGTTTTGCCAAATTGGCTCAATAATAAATATTTAAAAGTTATTTTTCAATAAAAATATGTTTACAAAAGTAAAACGAACAAACAAAAACCAAAACAAAACCCCAAACCCACTGCAATCTCTGTTGGGTTATGAACCTAAAGAAAACAACCAGAACCTGAAATTTTGTGGATGGAAAATAAAATGCTTCTTTCCTATGTCCCTCCTCTTCCTTCTTTAGTCCTATTCTTCCTGGTTCCAACCCTGCTTTTACTTGCCTGACCTATTCTTTCTGCGGGGGGAATAACTGATAAAATATATGATGCTATGGGTTTAGTAGCAGCTAGCCTAACCAGAGGTGCTGGCAGAAATGAAGGTAAGTTTTCTCTTTTCGCATATCTTTGGTGTTCTTTAAATCTAACACAGTCAGTCATTTTGAGCATTTACTTATCATATCATTTACATATGTAATTAAATGCATCTTTCACTAAATCTTTCTAAAGGGGCAAATGTCATGTTTTTTATGCATTGTAGGAATTTTGATTCACGTGAAATAGTCCCAAGCAAAATCAAATTACTATTCTTTTTCCCCATTTGGGTAAAGCAAAGTGATTGTAATCCACGTATTATCTCCTTCCCCCCTTACCCCCATTCAAACCAAAAAGTTTTCAAATGTTTTCCAACCACTTTGGAAGACAATGCTCCCCACCCACTTTTGGAGACAATGTTTTATGACAGATGGAGGGAATTTCTGCTTCCTGCATATGAGCAAAACCATCTGGTTTATTTGGTTCAGTCAGAAATGTGGAAATATATTGACAAACAAACATATATCAGGGGTAACTTGTAGTTTTTTTTGGTTTTATTGCTCCTGGGGGAATAACACAGTCATGTCATATGAACAGTCTGGTTTAAAAAGAAACCTACACAGATTAAAAATAATTAAAATCTAAAGTTTACCTTGTGAAGGTATGTGCTTTTACAAATGCTCAAATACAGATTTTTACCATACACTTCCATTTCCTTTCTGCCAAAAGAGAAAAAAATCTGCTAATATTTGAGTGTCATCTTCCTCCAAGCAATCAGCAATAATTTATCTCTCAAAGAGAGCTTTTCGGCCAATGTTTCATTTTGATTTTATTATGAGTTCTGGCTGCTTAAAGAAATAGGACTTCCATGGGGTTACTGTAGAATAGGTCAAGAAAACAATCTAGTCAGTATATTTCATTCTTGGTAGCTTGTTCTCTATCCCCCAATTATCAGAGAATTAGACCATCTTCTGTGAGACAGAGCCTTACCACACCACAAAGGGATGGTGGTAAATGAGTTTGCAGCAAGGCGAGACTGAGTGGGCATTTGGGTATTACCCAAAAGATTTATTAAAAGCTCTCTCTTCTACAATAATAAACAGTTCAACACTCCACTTCTATGAACTTCTGCATCCAGGAAATCTTCATCTGTGATTTTGCTTTTTATTCCAGGCATGGGTGTCATTACCCAGGAAATTCAACTAAGAGGTGTCAGATAATTTATTAGTTTTCTCTATTTTGATCTAACAGTTATGGTCTATGCAGCCTAAAGAAAATCAAAGGAAATTTTGTGGTCAATATTTATTACTTAAACTCATAGGAAAATTGATGGTTTTGATTTTTTTTTTAAGTTTTCACCAGTTCTGTTTTAAATTCCAACTTCTAAAAAATGTTTTCTCCTTCTTCTTACTATGCGGACCATCCTTTACTTATAGCATCCTTTACTTACCAGTGCTGCTTCACTGGCTTTTTGCTTGAATGATCCAGAGAAGGTTTTCCATAGACTAGAACCTCCTGCTTTAAAAATATGACAGTTTGTGTGTTTCAACCTTCAGCTTGTGCCTGCATCTTACATTGCTTACCAATCCAGAGTCTTATGCTTGGGCTACAGATCAGATTTTCTCCTCGCCTCTATTTGCCTAGATTTCCAGCTGAGTTTAAACATCACTTTTTCTAGAGTAGGATGAGTTGACTTTTTGGCTTGATTAAGGATAAATGCCATTGACTCTTCACTTCTGGATGACTAAAGTTTTGCAAAAGCTCATGGAGATTTATTTGTTTACCACTTGCGAATGAATATTGAATAATATTCCCTGCCGTTTTAATGAAACAGATGTGAATCTTTTTTTCTATTCTTAGAGTAAGGAGAATTATTGGTGTTGGAGTTATCCAATGTAACTAAACAGCAGGGCATGAGAAATTTCAGTTATTTTTTCCCCATTTTTAATCATAGGCTATCACATTCTAAAGTTTTAGAGTCCAAACGACAGCCATATTTTGTGTTTGGATCTGACCAGCATGGATATATCAAGGGATACCATAAGAGCTGAGGAACCTGCAAAATGGTAGCATCATTTAAACACACTGGGCTGAGACAAAGCATGTTTTACAACTCTTTAGCTAATCTGACACTGACATAGCAATGTCCCCCAAATCACTATGTTTGTGTTAGTCATTCTCCCTCTTGTTTTGTCTCCAACCATAAAAATTAAGTGATGTGCCTACACTGCTTAAAGAACAGATGCCAACTTAGGGGAGACGTTCTAAATAGCCTACATTTGTGACATTTCTGCGTCCATAGTCAATATTCTCGCATCTTTCTTTACTTTCTTTGTTCTTATTGAAGCATTTGCATGTAGATGAAAGAGGATTAAAGCATTAAAAAATAAAAAGGCAGCTTTGTTTTTTCTGAGAACATCTGTTCTTGTTATAAAGTATCCACATTATGTGGTCCATTTTCTTCCAATGCCCTCACAGTTTGCTGTTGTGAAGGCAGGTGTTACATCAATCTGAGACCTGAATTAATGAGATAATGAAGACTGCAATCTAGTAAGTTGAAACGTAAGGAAAATCCTGTTATAACATATACATTTCAGATAATATTAAAGGCAAGGACTTTCACAAACTAAGAGAAGATGAGATGGTCTGTAAAATGGTTTATTGTAGAATTATTTTTTCCTGAAGATTCATTGATCTCATGGCATCACTACCCAATTTGGGGTATGTGTGGTCCAATTGGTTTCTCCACTGAATGCTCAGGATTCTTGTCAATTTGGATTTGGGCTTTGGGTACATTCTGAAAATTTTTAAATATAAATTATTTGTTGTATGCTTTATAATTAAAATAAACTTTGAAAGTCTGTTTATTTTTTAAGAGGAAAATTCCTCCAAACTTCAGCTACTACCATAACTCTTATAACCAGCAGAAAGTAGGAATGCTAATTATTCGAAATTAAAAAGTACAGTTTAAAATTACCTTGAGATCTCTACTCAGGTGATACTAATTTTTTTTTTCTTTCCTGGACAGTATGTAATATCTTCAGTCTTGGAGGTAGAAGGGGAAGAGTGGCTAGTGAAAATTATATAATAAAGCTTTAAGACTTACTTAGATAAAAATGTATTGAACTAAATTAATAGTTGCCTAAGAAATTAAACCTACGTGGACATTAGTCATTCAACAAGCACTTGTTAAAGTGTGTGCTACATACCTTGTCCTGTGCTCAATACATGTGGAAGCCAAGTATATGGTCTTCTAAAATATTTCAGATCATAATATTGGCCACTTACATATTTAATCTTCCTTTTTTTCCAAGTCATTTGCAGGGGTAGAACTTTCTGTATGTTGATTGACTAATCCAGAAATATTTCATCATCATCTTTCTGCGTGGGATTGGCTATCTACTTAGCAAAAGCAGACTTGGTCTAAGTCTTCTCTGTTCTATGCAACCTTCTTCTTCTTTTCAATTTACATCTCAGTTCAGTGAGGATACTCATTCTAAAGTAACATGACATTTCCCCTCGCACAACTGTATTGTTTTAATGCTTCATTTTCTCCTGTCTTGCCATCTTTTGCCCCTAAATGTCATCTTTCCCTCCTGCCCGATTCTTCATAGGGTGCACTTGAACTTGGGCTTAAGCATCCTGAGCATAGATCTTTTCAGACAATTTGGTTATTTATATTCATTTAGTGTTTCTCTCTACTAAACATTCTTTTGACCTCAAAAGCTTCTGTTTTGGAATTTTACATTATTTCATTTTTTAGGTCTTTGGAGGATGATGAAAAATGGGATAAGGAGGGGCCCCTCACATTCCCTTCAGGAGCATTATCTATAATGAGATTTAAACCTGGACATTATAACCATTGTGATTTTCACTATTGTGATTTCTATGGCCACTGAGTTCTGATAGGACCATGGGTTAATGGAAATGTCAAGTTAAGGGAATAAATGTTGCAGAGTTCCTTTCTCATCCAATTGGTGGATACTCCCTAAAAGCCAGACTGGTGTATTATGCCTAAATCAGCAAACGATTCTAAGAAAAAAAAAGTTATGATAAGTTTCCTATATCTTGAAGAAATTCATCTGAGTTCTAAGAGAGAAATAAATGACTACTAACCATCATTTTCTGTGGATGTTTACTTTCTGCCATTGGCATTTGAAAACCTTGTATCTATAGATAAAGAAGGGTGTTCATTTCTGTTATTACATTGTCCTTAGTATTTGAATTGAGACTTGCATTTGGGGACAGTTGTAGAGGATCCTGTTGGATCAGTGAGACTAGGATGGGTTTTGGAAGTGATGTAATTCCTTGAGTGCTACTGGGTCATGTGCACCAGTGTGGCTTTGACAACCTTGATGCCAGGAGCCCCACTTTGAGGGTTGATTCTAACTTTGGCACTTACCACCATCCTTAGGCAAAGGGCCCGAGACCCTGTACGCAGGGCAGAAGCTCAACGACAATGAGTGGCACACCGTTCGGGTGGTGCGGAGAGGAAAAAGCCTTAAGCTCACGGTGGATGACGATGTGGCTGAGGGTGAGTATGGCTGCCGCGACATTCGCCTTCCTTGTGCTCAGAGTCCTCTTGGCCATTCACTGAGCAAACGTTCTTCTCAAAACCTTCTAGTTTGCTTAATAGAAATCACAAATCTTGTGCTCTGTTGATGAACTCAGGCAAGGCTAGGAAGGTTTTCATTGCTCTGTGTAATAGAGCTTACCCACTACCATAATTACATATTCGTGGCTCCCTATCCTTGGGCACAGAGTATGTGTCTGAAGAACAGATGTTGGGTTCTGCAGACCCTTCTATTATCCAATCACTCAAAAATAACTTATCGGTCATCCTTCCATATGCCTGTCCCCTCCATCAGCAAATGAATGGGTCATTTTCTAGTAGAGGGAGATGGACAAACAAGAAATTCAGAAAATTACAGGTTAAAGTAAGTACCTGGAACAGTACATGATACCTTTAGAAAGTGCTGATTAATGTTTGGCTTAGTTAATTATTCATTTATTTAATCATTATTAATTGAGCACCTATTCTGTACCAAGCACTGTTTTAGAAGTCACCTGGAATATGGTGGTGAACAGACAGGTAAGTTCTTGGCCTGGTGGAGTTCACACTTATGAGGTCCATGAATAATTGAATAAATCCATAGATATGTAAAGGACCACTCAGAGCCCCGCACAACCAACATACATTTCCCTAGAGCTTGATACATGTCAGCAGTGTGCTAGAATTGTGGAAAACAAAAAGGAAGTACAAGAGATTATGTTTCCTCAAATAGTGGATCAACTTAGTAAATTAGATAAGATGCTGGTATTTGAAAATAAGACAAGAATTTATAATAAGATTCTAATTTGGGTGGATGAGATTATATTTGTCAATCAGAAGAGAAAATAAACACTTTGGGCTGGAGAAATCAGGAGTGGTTTATGAAGGTAGATCTCCAGCCAGAGTTAGATGGATGGGGTGTTAATTGATGAGGTCTCGGATGGAAGAGAGAGGGAACCTTCTAGTGCCATCCTACTTGCTGCCTCCGACAAGCCCACACTTCGTAATATTCCAGAACAGTACACATCTGGTAAGCAGAATTCTTGTTCATACGGGACAAGAAAACTTGGAGCAGCACAACCTGTAACGTTTTGGCGTTAGGTCTGGGCTCTGACATTAACTCTCTGCAGAATGTTGGGAAGGTTACTCACCGTCCCTGGGACTTGTCAAATAAAGTCAGTGGCCTAAGTCATCTTTTACAGTTTCTTTTGTAAATGAGACGTCAGGTTAGAGTCAGGAGCCCTGGGGTTTAATGTAATCACTGCCACTAAAATACTTTATGCCCTTGGGATAGATAGACTAAACCTCTTTTTCCTCATTTTTAAACCTGAAATTCTATTATTTCTAAGGCCCTTTCCAATGTAAGCATTCTGCAATTTGGGGGCCTATAATTTAATTTTGTATTTATGAGTCTGAGCTTTTATACTTCTGGAATCAGGAATTATAGGAAGGCACGTATGTATGCGCACAGGTGTGTATATGTATATGTGTGTATGCTGGTGTGTGTGTGTGTGTGTGTGTGTGTGTGTGTGCAGAGGACAGTCTTTGGATAGAAGAAAAGCATTAGCATATATCCGGTGCCCAGTAGGCATTAGATACTGTCTTAGCTGTCTTACACATATCAGCTCCTTTAATCTTCTATAATTCATCATAGCCTTTCCAGGCAAATGTTCTTATTGTCATTTTACAGGAGAGGCATGTGAAGTTTAGAGAGAGTTGTCTAATTAAGCTCCAAATACATGTCTGTGTGATTCCATGAAATGAAGCTGCTTGCTGTATACTTCACAATCCATCATAAGAAAATGATTTATCTTATGATATAGGAAAAATACAATGAAATAGGTCAGGGAGAGAGGGGAATACATTTCAGAAGGTAGACTCCTTCCTGTCTCCCCCCCCCCACACACACACACAAAAAAAAAAAAAACAAAAACAAATGCAAACAGAACCACAACAACCATCCAAAAGACTTCAATTACACATCAGCGTAACTTAGTAGTAGGAGGTAAGGTTACTGGTCTACATGCCTGAAGGGTAATTTAGCTTTATGAAATGAATATATAAGAGCAGATGTAACAGTGGTTACACTGTTTAAAACCCATAGTCAACCTGACTATGAACTGTTAGATGGATGAGCAGAGGCTCATCCCTTTCTAACTTATCTGGGCTTGTCCTGGTTAAGCAAAGGATGGCCCAATTCACACAATGTTTTGAATAGAAGCCACTAGGTGGTGCCCTCACCCCAATCACTCCCCACAGTGAATTCCTTTCATTTTCCTTGGAAAATATGCCCTGAGAGCATAGTCATTAAAAAAAAAAAATGCAGAACATAAGGCACTGAAAGGTATATACCCTCTCTTGGTCATTATTCTTTTACAGAAACTTTTGAATAAAGGTAATTATAAATTGTGCTTTCTCTTACCACTTATCATGAAAAAGCAGGGCTAAACCATGGAATGCTCAAGTCATCCAGTAATTTGATATTTGAAATTAATGAAACCCTTTCATTTTCAGCCTTACCCCGGTTCATTGCCGATGGAAGAATGCAGCCATAAAAATAAAGGCATTTTGGAGAGGACAAGAACTATTTTGCTTATGAACTATAACCTCGGATTGCTTTTTACAGTGATCAGGAGTTGGGGAATTTTAATTTTAGTTCACAGAAGTCATCAAATCAGGCAGTGAAACTAAAATATCACACAGTCCCCAGGTTATTAAGTAGTGTCTTGTTGGCTTATTTAGTAATAATCTTTTTCATGCTGTTTAGGTCTCCCAGTGTGCCAAATTTTCAGCTAGTTTGTAGAAACAGTGCAAAGAATAGGTTGGACTCAAAAGAAATCAGAAGCAAAGAAAGAAATATTTCTCAACCTGGTGCTTTACATTTATTGTAATATCATTGTATTCTTGGAAAAGTATTAAGTTCAGTTGACAGTTATTAAGGATTGATTGATTGATTGAGCTAAATTTCTACTATTAAGAATAAATTAAAAGAATGCCTCACTTGGGTTACGCTCCTCAGAAATTGGGGCCTAATGTTGCATGAACCACCCACTCCATTTCTTGCTAGTACAGAAATTCACCCTGTTTTCAATTTCAATTCTCTGGTCCATGTTGACTTCTCCCTCCCTTCGTCCTACACAGCACATACAGCAACACGCTGTAAAAAACAATTACCTAAAGTTTTGCATTTAAAACTTCTTTCTCATATTAAGAAGGGTTGGAAATGTTAGATTAAAGAAAATGAAGTGTAGTTCTTCATTGCAAGACTTATTAAGAATTTTTAATAAGCTAATGTACACTGCTAATTATTGATAAGCATGCAGTATTTGCCGACTTATTTGGCTCCAGAATTTTTTTTTTTAATAAGGAATTTCATAGCACACTTTTGAAAAATGTTGTTATCATCGAGAAAAGAATGTGGGACCAATGGATCTGGAGAATTGTGGACAAAATGTGAGAACCCTTTACTGAGACTCTATAAGCCTTTATTTTCTTAATGTCTCTCCCTGTGTCTGGGAAAAATGCGAGGCCGTTGCTTCCTCTTAGCCTTTCCCATTGTATTTTTCCTAAGCTCTTAGTGTTGGTCAGGAACCTCATGTGCAGAAACAGTGATGATCCAAAGTCTGACCCTAAAGCAAAAGTCTCAAGAATCCCTCCCCAGATGTTAGAGATGCCTTCTGCGCTCAGGCCCCTCTGCTAAACAGTGCAGGACATATAGAAGACACAAGAATGGTCTCTACTTCAAAAGAGTTTGCAATCTAATAAAAGAGAGAAAATTAAAAAATAAGTGAAATAGCCAGAAAATAATTAAAGCATTTCAAAGAAAGGAAAAAGAATGCTAATTTATAACAGCTAGCAGTTCAAGCCCTAGGTACTATTCTAAGTTCTTTATCTGTATTGGTGTATTTAACCCTGATAACTGCATACACTATTTCACAGATGGAAAACTGAGGCATGGAAAAGTTGAGTAACTCCCCCAAGGTAATTCAGGTAAGAAGCTGTGGAGCTGGAATGCAAACTCAGGCAGTAGAGCCTCAGAGTCTACATGCTCCTCCATTGTATGCTACTGCCTCGTGGGAAGTTACAGCTTGGATCCAGCCAAAATTTTCCATAGGTTTATGTTCTTCATCACTCCAAGGGTTGGTCAGCAGACAGCTCGTTGGCCGTCAGTGGAATATGGAAGCGAATCTGTGAATGCGAGCCAAGGCAGCAAGGCTGCTTTAGTGAGGGTTCCGAGTATATTACCTATAAGTTAGACGGAATGACATGATACTTGGCCATTGGGAAGAAGTGTGAACTTATTACAAAGGCGTCTGCATGGAAATTTCACCGGTTAAATTCTACCTACTGCTTTTCTTGGGCAACAGTGTGAGAAATTAATCAAGCCTTTTTTCCAAAGACAGTAGAATACACACAAAACAAACAAACAAACAAACAAACAAGCAAAACGATGTAGGCTTTGGAATTAGTACGTCTGGATTCAGTTTGGGGGTCTACTATATTTACCACCTGTATGCACTTTGATTGCATTGCTTAACCTCTAAGCTAAATGTCCTCTCCTCTAAAGCAAGATAACGATTCCTATCTACAACTTTATTGTGATAATGACATTTGATGGTGGTTATTGCAGTGCTTAGCATAGTGCCTGCCATATAGGGAGCACTCAGTAGTCTTGGTTTTTCCTTATTATCTTTCTCCCATGTTACTTGTCTTTCCTCTGAAATTTGAAAGCAGTTGCTGTGAGGTATGTATGTATATTTTCCCATTAAGTGGAAAGGAACGAAGTTTCGTCTGCAAACAGCATTCAGAGGTGACGAGTAACAGGGTTCCCAGCTATATTGATAGGATAACATACAGATTTAATTTTTTTGTTTTATTTGGTTGGTACAGTTTTCAAACTTTAAGCAATCTCTTTCATACTTTTCCCAGGTGCCATAGCAATATTTATTTATTTATTTTTTTTGGAATCTCCATCCACAGGGGAGTGAGTTCTTTTAGCATATAGTGAAGCCAATTTCTTTTCTAATTTGGACCCAGGTCACCTTCACCCACTCCCCTCCCCATCTTTTAGTGAAGCTGTGCTCTGAATCATCCTAAACGCTAACTCAGTCTGTTCCTGGGCTAAGCCCTTAAATTCCATTGTTAGCTTCTCTTCTCTTACCCAAGTCCTGGCTCAGTCTCTCTTCTATCTCAAGCAACCCCTTACATATTTTTTTTTCTTTATAGAATTGATTTTCAGGTGAGTAGAATTTCCTAACCCTTCAATCGTGGAGGTCAATTTATCCACAATTTCTCTAAAATCTCCAAGTTGACTTCAAAATTGTCTCTTCAGATTCCTTTTGGAGCCCCAGTTTTTACCAGGGATCACTCATTCTCATTTTTTAGTACTCACTGTAGACTTAAAAAAAAAAAGAATATGAGAATTATCATGACTATCAGCATCACCATAGTTCAGTTCCTCTGTCCCCATGAAGATTGGCTGTGACTTCACCCTCACCACCCCTGCCATTCTCCAGCCCTTGTAGGAACAGCTGTAGCCAAATTGGCATTGGGTGTTTATTACAGCAAGTGAATTTAGGTTATGTTATTTTGCATTTTTATGACCGGTCCAATCTTAAATACTAAGTAATTTTATACAGTAATTCTTTTTCCTAGTTATTCAATTATTAGATTTATGTTGCTATTCTTTTTCCTAGTTATTCAATTATTAGATTTATGTTGCTTTTTGATTTTTGTTCTACTATAATTTTACATTTAACTTAACCAACATCATTATTTTATTTTCGCTTCTATTAAGAGAATGATTTGTCACTAGCTGTCAAAACACCACACAGAAGTTCATAAAATGCAAATCAGATTTTTGTGCTTATGAGCAAATCTTTGGATTAGGTATGAGTTTGCTCCCAAAGAGATGAAATCAATATTGAGCATCAAAGGGTGTGATCTGGTTGAATCTTCCACATAATGAAGTTTAAAGGACTCAAGAAAATATACTCCCCCTGCCCCCTTTTTTGGACATGAGTTCTGAGCCAATAAAGAAAAACAATGCAAGGCAGGTGGAAATCAAATATCATTTTTATTAGTGATAACCTGATGTTAATAAATATGGCTTACCTGTAGTGAACTTCAGAATTAGACAGAACTGCCCACTTGAATGCTAATTCAAGGCTAGGAAGCAAGCCTTTCTCCTGTAACAGCCATGCTGGGGATGAGTGGAGTAGAATGGGTGTTTGCTGAAGACAGCTTGCTCCCCCAGAGAGGGACAGGAAGCTCAGGGGCTGAGATGCACACACAGTTCCTCTTTGCAGATTATTCTCAGTATTTCAGATACTGTCACTCTTTTTCTTTTGCAAAATTGTAAAATAGGGGTAAAGAGATGCTATCAGCGTCTTGTATTAACATAGAGGGTAAACAACAGGAGAAGGCAGAAAGAGGGAACTCCCCTTCCCCCTCCCTGTACCACTGGCATTAGAACCTGGTTTTAATGAAAGGTTGAAATAGTTAATTTGTGTCAGCTGAGGATCTTTCAGTTGCAAATAGCAGACACACAACTCAAAAGCTTTCAGCATGAAAGGGAGTCTATTACCACATAGTTTTTAAAAGTCCAGAGTTGTCTGGCTTGATCCAGACCCTCCAATGACATCAGCACAGAGCAACTTTCTCTCCACTTCCTGATTGACTTCTGGATCCGGTGGTCTCCTCAGGCAGCCCAATCCCTCCGGTTATTGCAGGGCCTCCAGAAGCTCTAGGCTTTCTTACCCCTTCTGCAAGACTTGCTTGCAAAGAATGCCTCTTTCAAAAGTGTGACTACCAAAGCCGTGGAGCAGAGCATTACTGGATTAGCTTGGGATGTTGTTAATCCAGGGGTTCTAACAGTGGTTCCTAGATCAGCCACATAAGTATCACCTTGGAACTCATCAGAAAATTGTAGATTCTTAGGCCTCATTCCAGATTGTTGAATCATAAACTTTGAAGGTGGGGCCTTAGCCTTTCAGGTAATTCTGTTGCATGTAAAAGTTTGAGGACTACTTTTTTAATCCTTAGAGCAAAATCTGTGTTTAAGGGGATAAAATAAATTGAGTAGTCCAGCCCTGGATAGCTTGATTAGGGTCAGATTCATGCAGTCCAGATGTTTAAAGGTCAAGTGAGGAAAGCAGCTTCCCAAAGAAAAATTGTGTTATTATCAGATAAAGCAACAGTTAATGGGCAGGTAAAATCAACAGAGGTTCTACAACAGAATCTTTTCCACAATTACTAGGTGGTGAGTTATTACAGGAAGAAATATCTGGTAGTGAATGCCTAAGCTTATTTGTTGTGTCTTTACAAGGGCAACAAAGATTTTTATTCTTACAGTGTGTATTAGTACCCAATTGTTTTTCTGATTGGTGAAAACCAATAGTTTTATCCTTTAACTTGGGTTACCCATGATCTCACATTTTTCTTTTTGTAATGGGACATTCTTCAGCTTCATGAAAACATAGGATGCCAGGCATGTAACTTGGGCTGGGCCAGTACTCAGCTCCTGACTGAGGCCAAGTCATGTGGATACTATATTGAGTATTTTGCTTTTTGACACTGATTCAAGAACAGTGAATACTTTTTGTTGGAACAAATTGCACCTAAAACACATAGTAAGGGTGCTATGACAAAATATGGTAACTCCTCCTGTTTGTACTTCATTTATGAATTTCATAGGTACCATGGTGGGAGACCACACCCGCTTGGAGTTCCACAATATCGAAACTGGTATCATGACTGAGAAACGCTACATCTCTGTTGTCCCATCCAGTTTCATTGGCCACTTGCAGAGCCTCATGTTTAATGGCCTGCTCTACATTGACTTGTGCAAAAATGGTGACATTGATTACTGTGAACTGAAGGCTCGTTTTGGACTGAGGAACATCATTGCTGACCCCGTCACCTTCAAGACCAAGAGCAGCTACCTGAGCCTTGCCACGCTTCAGGCCTACACCTCCATGCACCTCTTCTTCCAGTTCAAGACCACCTCAGCTGATGGCTTCATTCTCTTCAACAGCGGTGATGGCAATGACTTCATTGCCGTTGAGCTAGTCAAGGGGTAAGTAGAAGTGATCACATAATTTATGCTGGATATCTTCACTCAAGCCTTACATAAAATATGGATGTGAAAATAATTGTCCATTCTATTCCTAACCCTCTATTCCTAATACATGCTAGCATCCTGACTGATGAAAAAAGATCTAAAAAATGAGTAGGGCTGGAAAGGAGAGAGATTCATGAGTTTATTTAAAGATATGTCACCAACTTTACACTATCACTAATTCAACTTTTTACTATGAAATGTAGTTCTTTAAAACTATAGCAAAAAAGATTATTTTTGCAAAAGGGGGCTATAGGGTGTATTTCCTCTATTTCTGGAGTGATACTAACAGCAACCACCAAATTTTTACCAAGAAATTAAATATTGATATTTTAATCTCTGCCAATAGCTCACATATGCAAATTTTTAAAAAGCTGTCCTTTCTTCAAGACATTTTACTACCATGTATTAGAAAATAGTCAAAACAAAAACAAAAACAAAATTCCATGATTGACTGAGTCTAAATGTCACCCCCTAGTGTTTTGTAGTGTAACACCCGCACTATTTAGGCTCTGGATAGTATTACTAGGTTTAGTCAAAGAAATCGACTGTATGAATATGGAATTAAAGTGATGTACGATAGAATACGATGTGGCTATTCTTGTAACTGTAAATCAACCTTTAATTATTCCTGCATTATACCGGCATGGGGGATTCAAAGCCTCCTCTGTAGGCTACACATACATTGCCATTAGACCACTTCAGGTAATCTCAAGTGATCGGGTGGTTGTCGTCTGTCATAGGTACATACACTACGTGTTTGACCTTGGAAATGGCCCCAATGTGATCAAAGGCAACAGTGACCGCCCCCTGAATGACAACCAGTGGCACAATGTCGTCATCACTAGGGACAACAGTAACACCCACAGCTTGAAAGTGGACACCAAAGTGGTCACTCAGGTTATCAATGGTGCCAAAAATCTGGATTTGAAAGGTAAACCTTTAAAAAAGTTTATTTCTTTTAGAGTATTTCATACAATAGAATAGCTGTTTCCAGAAGAAAACAAGTTAGGGGTGCCTCACATTTTTGATACATCATGCATATATTATTTAATAATGTTAATTATGCCATAATGCAATTTATTCAGTTTTTACTTAGCTTCTCAAGAAATGGTTTGTTTTTTCTGATAACCTCAGGAATGTCTCACTGCGGGGGCTGAGGGGTGAGGTTATAAATATCAAAATGCGGGAGGGGCCACATAGAAAAGAATGTGGGCTTTGGAATTTCGGCTGAATCATTTATGCCTGGGTGACCTTGGTACAACTTCTTAGCCTTGTTCAGCTTATGTGTGTGTGTGTGTGTGTATACATGCACACAATATATATGTGTGTGTGTATATATTATATATATATATATATATATATATATATACACTATGTGTATAAACACACAATATATATGTGTACATATATATATATATATTTCAAAATAAGGATAATTGTTACTCCTTTTATAGGTTATTAGCAGTTTTGATGGAATAAAACCTTGGTAAAACAAGCACATAAAAAGCACTCAATAAGTGATTCTTTTGTTGAAAATGTTGTTAATCTTTATTTCATCTTTGGTGCTTAAAGTTTATGAGATGATGTATATATGAATGATACATAAGAAATATTAGTTTCCTCTTTTTACAATTTAGAAACCCTGGTAATTATTTTGTTTTGGCTGTTCCCCCCTCCTGCCCTGACTGTATCATCATTGTCTAATGAATAGCCTCACAGTCATTGGCTTTACTTGGCATGGTTGCCATATCCTTTATTCATTCTCTCTGGCTACCCACTTTCCTTTCCAGGCGACCTCTACATGGCTGGTCTGGCCCAAGGCATGTACAGCAACCTCCCAAAGCTTGTGGCCTCCCGGGATGGCTTTCAGGGCTGTCTGGCATCCGTGGACTTGAATGGGCGCCTGCCAGACCTCATCAATGATGCTCTTCATCGGAGTGGACAGATCGAGCGTGGCTGTGAAGGTGACCTTTTTTTTTTTTTTTTTTTTTTTAAGATACAGCCTTGTTGCAAGTACTAAGCCTCTTTGCTGCCTCTGCCAGTGCCTCCCTCCCTGGTTTACCAGTCCTCTCTCATTTCCATTTGTCACCTGACAATTCATCACTGTCAGTGTTCTCTTGCCACTGGTTGAGTATGTTAAGACATACTGCCACAGGCTCCAGGCATGTATGTGGGCAAGTGTTTTCTGAGTATCACATACTTGCCAGTGAAGAACCTTCCCTGGCACTGACATCAGGCTTCTCCAATTTGTGCCCTTGCTTCCAGAATGGCTAAAAGGGCATCAGAGACTTTTATTTACATTTTAACACATGGTGATGGGCAAACCAGTGACTTTATATGGGTGTCACCATTAATAAAATGTTTTGCCAATAGCAACTGCATTATTTAATGCAAATCTAGCAGGAGATAGGGAAATGATGTCAGAATGTCATGATGATAAAAGGGAACTAACATTTATTGAGTATTTACTAGATATCAGGCATTGTTAGACAGTCCCTTGGTATGGTGTAATGGAATATTGTGGGCTTTGATATTAGAAAGACCTGGATTCAGGTCCACAGAGTAGCTTTTGTTAGCTTTGTGACACTTGGCAAGTACTTAACCTCTCTAAGCTACATCTTTTTCAACTGTAAAATGAGGCAATAAGACTTACCTTGGAAGGTAAGTAAATTAGACATATATATAAAATGCCCGATATATACTAGGTACCCAATAAATTGTGGGATTATTGTTTACAAATATTACTTCATGTGAGACATCTAATAAGATTGCATGCCTGCCATGCAGCACAATAAACCATGCTCAGCCTATTTCTGTAGATGATCCACTAAACCTTGATACTAACTAAACTTTACAGGTCTTCTGGAATCCAACAGTTCTTTACAAAAAAATACAATCTAGTTTTAGCCGGCAGACGGCAGCAGTGTACACATTCAGCTTTCCCTAGCAGACTTGGGTTCGCTGAAAAGGTGACTCTGCCTAACCTGAGAGGCAAAGAGGTTGCCTGACCAGTCACCAGGATCCATGTATTCTTTTCTTTGGCTGAGCCTTATGGTCCTTTGTGCAACATATTGTGTTTTCTTGTATCACTTGTTAATTTACCATATCAAACCTGTTCATTCATCTTCTGTGTTCAACTTCATGTATCTGTCTTGTTTTTTACCAGCTACTGTCTGGGTTTGCTCACCACAATGCACATTTTTATGAAAGCTTCTCATTAGCTTCTCAGGCTGAGTTGTAGTTATGGAAGTTGTTTCCCTTTGCCTAAGAGTCAGTTTCTTGTGTTGCGCTAGTAACAAGACTAAACATCCCTATAACACATTCTGTTTTTCCTTTAGCCAGAAATATTTCTCAAATTCTGTTGGCCAAATATTGTTTGTGTGTGTGTGTATGGTGGGATAGGAGGTTGGGAATCGCCAAGAATTTAAAGTAACCGCTTTGCTTTCTTCTTGAAATGCATAATTTCATTTAGCTCAAGAATTTTTGTCTTCTCATTGACCTGCTCTTAGTTCTTTGGGTCGTTAAAGGGCAATCCTGGGATAGACTCAGCTTTTGAAATTGAATTGAGTATCTTAGTTTAAAAGATTGTGGAATGATAATAATTCCAGTTATCCTGAAATAATTAATCACATCATGTTAAATCACAATATAAAAGCACATGTTTAAAAGCATAGGGAATCTTAAGATACTGAATATTTTTATGATGCCATCAGTTTTTCAGATCTAAAAGTTAAGGAATTACCTATTGAGCTTTATAGCAATGCTGCCCAATAGAAATAGAATGTAAGTCACGTATGTAATTTCAATTTTCCTAGTAGCTACATTGGAAAAAAGTATAAAATAACAGGTCAAATTAACTTTAATTTTATAATGTATTTAATTTAACTCATTATATCCAAAATATTGTTTCAGCATGCAATTGCTATTAAATTATCAATAGGATATTTTACATTCCTTTTATCATATTAAGCCTTCAAAATTGATTGTGTGTTTTATACTTGTGACACACCTCAATCCAGATTACACACGTTTACAGTGCTCAATAGCCATGTGTGTCAACGGCTACTGCAATGAAAGCACAGGTCTATAGAGTAGGAAAAGCAGGTGTACATAAGTAAAGCTACAGTATTAAATTAAAAGGAGGTGTAGACTAACTTTTATAAGAGTAAGCTAAAATGTACAGTATAAAGGGGGAATGGACCCCAGTTAAGAGAGCTTTAAGAGAAGCAAACGGAAGTTGCCCATCATATTGGGGAAATGTCCCTATCCCTTCCTACCTCTCTTTGTGCAGTTTGGCATGACTCATCACAGCATTATGGTGGGTTCTGGCCTTGCTCTGAGTATGTGTGATTGCTCAAAGCCGGATATTGTAACCTGATGGCTCTACCATCTGAATCTATGGAAGTCCCATAGGCCTAATGACACAGCACTCTATTGCCATGGAGATAATTGTGATGGTTCCCATCGAACTTTACTTCTGCCCTGCTGGGTGGGATGAAGTGGTGGATGAGTGCCAAGGGAAGAAGGTCCTTGTTGATTGTACACAAATGGCTTAGATAATTAGCCTAAGTGGCCAGGAAAAATGACCAAAAAGTAGGTTAAGGCATAAATTACTGTCATTGGAAGTTTGTAAGAGATCCCAGGAGCTTTTTAGGGTTCTGTGAAAATGAAATTGTAAAAAATGCTGGGGAGAAAATGAAGAGCACAAAACCTTGGAGAGATGGCAAAAAGGTGTCATTCCCATTCTGAATACCTTGTGAATTACAGGTCACCCTCAGAGAAGTCTTTTGGGTACTAGGCAGTGTGGGAACCATAGGAAATAGAACACATTTCTTGATTTTTCATTTCGACATATAGAATATTAAACAGGGGATGAAGTTTTATTACTAAGAACTAAGACCTGGATCTCCTCAAGATGTGTTTTATTCTCACATATCTAGAATACACCAGCCAGGATACATTATTTGTTTTTGTCAAAGTCATTGACAATGACACTTCATGATCTCTAAGTAGTAAATGTGTTACTCTCCCTATTATATATGACCCATGGCAACAGATAAAATAAAAGGCAAAAGAGTCCAAAATTATTTTTAAAACATCTTAATCCACTACTGGTTGGCTCTCAATTGTTGATAGCAAAAACAAAAAAGAAAAATTCTTGAACCAGGTTTTGATTTTATGTCTTTAATATATGCATAGTGTATTATTTAGAAACTAAGTGTGATTTCTGGATGACTCCTATTCAACACTTAACTGTGACTTGCCACCTCTCAATTTGGGCTAGGATTTTAAAAAAAAATAATGCCTGATTTAATACTTGGCTGGCAAATATCTCTTTCTACTTGAGGCCAGTTTTGCTGCTGACCCCGAGGCATCATCAGCTTGAAATGCTGTTCCACAATTGCAGATGGTAAACATCTGAGAGAAACACATGTGCTTCATTTTGAGACTGGCATGAATAAATAAAAAAGACATTGGTTCAGTGCCTTTTTGCCCACAGCCATTTGGATTTGGCTGTATTTTTATAACTTAAACAAATTGAGCTGGCTGTTGTTCCCAAATCATCTTGGTACAAATGCCCAATTCTGGTTCCACGTACCTTGGTGGCATTTGCAGGAGGGTTCAAGGGCACACCCAAGTGAGTCTTCCATGCTCAAGTTCTAAATGTTCAGAATTGTTTTGGTGGGCTCCCTCTGATTGTGCACACATGTCTTTCAGCCTGGCCATGCACCACCCTTATTTCTGGGCCCTATGCCATGGTTGGCTGTGTGGATGTGGGGAGGATCATATTGCCCATTGCTTGTGCTTTGTCAAGTCCAATGTTTCCCTGCCCCTGCTCTGCTGACTTGGCTCTGAGGAGGCCTGCTCCACCCCAGTCTGTGCGCATCCCCCGTCTGTATGTCTCCCATCTGTGCTGTCTCTGGTGAATCTGTAGAGCATTTCAATTGTCTGTTTGAGTGATGTTGGTTATGCAGATTGCATTTTCATTTCTGTAATGTTACCCTGGTTTACTCGACCTCTTACTAACCTCTGGTTACTGTTTTCGCTTTTTCTGTTTTTTTGCTAACAAAGTTGCGTTGACCAAAGCTGATCTGCAAGGTAGAGAAGGCTCTGTTCCCATTACCACTTTGGACTGAAAGATGCACTGTGTGACCCTTGGTATTTTTTTCTTGAGAGGTCTTCAAGTTGTTACACCTCTTGGACAGCAGCAATCGTGGGGAGGGGGCTGAATCCTGTGTTCTTCTGAAAGGGTGATAGAAAACCCTGATCAATGCACAAAAAATACCTATAAAGAGGAGACCTCATGGGGATAGGAACATGATTTCATTTTGGGGGGCACCAAAGAGGTTTGACAGCATCCTATACACAAACACATTAATTCAGTCTGGAAATGGTTAACTCTTCTCCAAGCAGTTGCTATAGAGGGGCTGGCTGCTTTCAATTTAGTTACTATAGATAGAAACAGCACTTGAAAGAAGAAGAAAAAGAGCCAGTTAAGATCTTAATTTATTATTTTCTGGGTCAGGCAGGTCACTTTTTAGAACAGGACATTTAAATGCTTAGGTCTTATGAAAGAGTAAATGATATTTCATTTTCTCTTAACTCATTTTAAAGAAACATGTTTAGGCATTTGGGAAATATTAACGTCATTAAAATGTTCTAGAGATTTGTATTTCCTATTGGGGATTTTGGTTGAGCACTTTAATGTTCTGTCTTGTGATCTAAGGGAAAAAGTACTCTTGGGGAAGAAGAGGATCTGTCAGTTTTATCCTGAATATCCTATAAAATGCCTGCCTGCGAAATGTCAGTGAATAGCTGCTGCAGAAACTGCTGCTTCTGCCATTCAAAGAGGCACCTTACAAAGTCAGTAATGGCCCAGTGGTCCTGTCATGTCAGGCTGCTTTGACTCAGAATAGCAAGGGACGAAGAGGCATTTTAGATACCTTTTGGCTGATGGTCAAGC